TGAAGAAAGGCTGAGAGAGTTGGGGTTGTTCAGCCTAGAGAAGAGAAGGCTTCGGGGAGACCTTCTTGCAGCCTTTCAGTACTTAAAGGGGGCTTATAAAAAAGATGCCAGCAAACTTTTTAGCAGGGCCTGTTGCGACAGGACAAGGGGGAATGGCTTTAAACTAAAAGAGGGAGATAGATTTAGACTAGATATAAGGAAGAAATTTTTGATGCTGAGGGTGGTGAAACACTGGCACAGGTTGCCCAGAGAGGTGGTGGATGCCCCATCCCTGGAAACATTCCAGGTCAGGTTGGATGGGACTCTGAGCAACCTGATCTAGTTGAAGATGTCCCTGCCCACGGCAGGGGTTTGGACTAGATGACCTTTAGAGGTCCCTTCCAACCCAAACTATTCTATGATTCTATATGATTCTGTGATTCTTCACAGGAGAGGTGTTCCATCCCCCTGATCATACATATCAGAACTGCCAAATGTATCGTTTTGTAATTTATCCGGTCTGTCTTTTTAATTCCGGCTGACCACCTGCTTCTCCACAATTTTTTAATCCTGGCAATAAATTGGTCAGTGTCTACATCTGCTCATCTCCCAGATGGTCATGCACAAAGAAAGAATTAATGGGACAATCCCATAGCCCCAGCAGTTGATCAGGGTGGGAGAGGACTTTGGAAGGCACGTATGCCCAAAACAGTGATCCTAAATGTTGGGAAGGAGAGAGAAATGAAAGTGCCTGAGCACAAGCTTGTGCTCCAGCCTGTATCATGGGGTGCAGTCCCATTAGGCAAAGACCCAATGGACATGAATCATCCTGGAAAGCAAGGGCAAGTAAGTTGGAGAGATACTGTTGCTCTTTTACTGCTTTGTAAAAGATTGGTTTAAATCAGATGATGATTCTCAATTTGTCCTCAGTGTCTTTTTATTTCTCCTGCCAGCATTACAAAAGATTCAAAGGATGTCTCATGTCATTAGCCCCAAATATTCCTCTAAAGGATCTGTTTTTAAACTAATGTTTTAATGCCCTCCTTGTTTCTCCCTCAGAAGTCCCAAGTAAGTTTATGAAGGTTTCTTTGGGAAAATATCTAGTGTGTTTGTTGAAATATTACTTAAACAGAAGAGAAGTAAGACTCCTATGAAGGCAAGTTCTACTCTCCAAAGAAACCTGACACTATACCCAACCCCAGCTTGGAGGGCAGCTTTAGAACCACAGGCTCTCCTTCTAGAAATGTTCAAACACCCAGTTGTTGGCTAGAAGTAGCCACTATAAACCTGCTTGCACCAGGATGTTGTTTGAGCAAATAGAAGAATTCTTCACATCAGCACGGGAAAGGCAAAAGCTTCCTTCTGCAGGTTGCTGTAGGATAACCCGTAAGACAGTCCAGCACAGCCTCTTCCAGTTTACAGCCAC